TTCCATGCCAAGCTGTTGGCTGCCAGGAGTAGAAGAAACTACTTTGTGCAAAAGGCGAGTAACTGGGGTCATAGCTTACATGGGGCTATGGACTTTCTATATGTGATTGCATTGGAACTTAATGATTGGCCCAGTGCTGTCCTACTGCACTAAGCCAAATGCTTTTCCATACCTGGCCTCCCCTACAACCGAACAAAGGGGCAGGGAACAGAGGAGAGGTGAGAACGTACCGTTGGGGGGAGGGTGAATAGGTATTGGGGGAAATATTTGCTTTTTCCCTGCATGGGTGAAGCACAGGTTTCTTTTACTCTAAAAGGCCCCCCACTCAGATCTCTTCTGTAATTGTGAAACATGCTTTTCATTGGGACGTCAGTTATGTGTATATATTAATTCTGACTGTGATAGACTAAAGCCGTAGAGAATGGAGCTGCTCAAAACAACCTTTCAGAAGCTGTAAGTGGTTTTAGTTTCCTTTACATTATTTTTAACTGTGCTGCAGGAAGTCCTGGCTCGTGCAAAGCTGATTGTTGCATTTTTAATTAAAACACGAGCTTGCTTTTTTTATCTGAACTACTACCCTTGGGAAAAGACCTTTTGTATGTCTTACCAATAAAACAATTCTTTTCTAGGTACAAATCAGATATCTGGATTTTTTTATAGTTAAAAACCTGTGACAGGATGTAAGAACATCACATTGTTTTTATAATTAGCATCTGAATTGCCCTAATGGACAATAAAAACACATATAGTTTGTGGCTGCTGTTGGAAAACATAGGTGGAATCATGAAATTAGCCTAAATTTATATGTAAACCTAATCATTAAAATCTAATTTTAACCACTTCCACGCCGCCCTATAGCAGAAATACTTCTACAGGGCGGCAAGGGTGCTTAAATTCACGTATATATACATGATTTTGCAGTTCCCGGTACGGGGCGGTCAATCACCGGGTCCCGGCTGGTGATTCCCCACCGGCACCCGGCGATCTCCAAGTATTACCAACGGGAGAGAGACCGGTATGTAAACAACACAGATCTCTCCCCTGTCAGCTCCTGCACACTGCTTTGTATGGCTCTGCATAGCACAGCCATACAAAGCAGTGTGCTTACAGTGTAAAGCACACAAACAGCACACAGTTAACCCTCTGATCACCCCACATGTTAACCCCTTCCTGCCCAGTGTCATTAGTACAGTGTCAGTGCTTTTTATTAGCACTGATCACTGTATTGGTGTCACTGGGGATGTCAGTGACACCAAGTCAGTTCCCCCCAGTGTCAGAATGCCCGCCGAAGTCCCGCTATAAGTCACTGATCGCCACCATTATTAGTAAGAAAAATAAATGAAAAATTCCAGTATATACTGTATACCGTCATTTGTAAACGCTATAACTTTCACCTTAAACTAATCAATTTACAAGTATTGGGATTTTTTTTCAGCAAAGACGTGTAGCAGAATACATTTTGGCCTAAATTTATGCCGAAATTTGATTTTTAGAATTTTTTTACTGGACATGTTTAATAGCAGAAAGTCAAAAATATTGTTTGTTTTTTTTTCAAAATTGTCGTTTTTTTTTGTTTATAGCGCAAAAAATAAAAAACGCAGAGGTGACCAAATACCACCGAAATAAAGCTCTATTTGTGGGAAATAAGGATGTCAATTTAATTTCGGTATAGCATTGCATGACCGCGCAATTGTCAGTTAAAGTAACGCAGCTACGTATTGCAAAAAATGGCCTGGTCAAGAAAGGGGGTAAATCTGAAGGGCAAGTGGTTAATGTAATTTCTGAAGTAATTTTTAATATTTTTTTAAAATATATTGACATTGTCTTTTTAAGTATGACCCCTGAAAGAATTGTGGCAAAAGAAACCAACTACAGTAAAACTCTTTAAAACTGGTCAGACCATTATGAAGATGTCTGTGAATCACTGCCTAACAGTAGAGCACAGGGGCGAACTGACAACTCATGGGGCCCCCAGGCAATAGGGGATCATGGGGTCCCTGTGTCCTTGACCAAACTCAAAAAAGCTTATGAAAAAAGTACCAGAGGCATCTCATGGGGCCCCCTACTGATCCTGGGCCCTCGGGCAGTGCCCGAGTTTCTAAATGGTCAGTCTGCCCCTGGTAGAGCACACACATTTCGGCCTTTCTCATCCAGCCCGCAGACTGAACAAGGGAAATCCAATAAATTCCTCCAATAATTTGAGCCACTTGCAGACAAGTGATGTACCTTGTACATAGCTGGACTTTCTGTGGGTATATTGGAGTGATGCCTGTACTAGTCACTCGATTTCTTGTGCAAGCAGCGGGAGGGGAGGTTTCCCCCGTTCTCCCTGCGCCACTTTCCACGGCTCTCTTGGGATCTCCTTTCCCACCGTGAGACCCAAGTGACCATCCTGCACATCCACCAGCTGGCCAGAAAGCCGAATAAAGCCACGATCAGCTTTGATCGCCTCTCCCTTATAGTAAACTGGAAGCAACGACCTGACGTTACTTCTGGTTTACTCAGAAACTATCAGCGCCATTCTTTAAAAAACTGAAAGCATTCGAAAACAGATTTTGGTGTTTTTAATGCTTTCAAGTGCAGAAAAGGGATTTGGGGTCTTATAGACCCCAGATCCCTCCATAAAGAATACCTGTCATGTGTCCATTGCTGTCACAAAGGGTGTTTACATTCCTTATGACAGCAATAAAAAAATTGAAAGTGACAGTGTAAAAATTAAAAAAAGTAAAATTTCCTCTTCCGCCCATGCTTGTGCACAAAGGCAAACGCATGCGTTAGTCCCACGCGCATGTAAACATCGGTTGGCCCACACATGTGAGGTATCGGCGCAAATGTCAGATCATGGGCTGTAATTCTAGCACTAGACATCCTCTGTAAATCTAAAGTGGTAATCTAAAGTGGTAACCCAAAATTCAAAAAAGTGTATTATTTTCCCAAAAATTGCTTTTGGAAAACCACTGCACAAATACCGTGTGACATAAAAAAATTGCAAAAAATATCAATTTATTCTCTAGGGCCTCTGCTTTAAAAAATAAATAATCTTTGGGGGTTCTAGGACATTTTCTAGCAAAAGATGCTGATTTTAACATTTAGCAAAAAATGCCAGAAATTGTCTGAAGCTGAAGTGTGTGAATGGATGACTAATGGTGTTGATCTTGACGTATCAAATCTAAAACAAAATCTTACCTGATCATCAAAAGATTTGGGTTGTTCCTGGAACAGTAAGCCCTGGTTCACACTGATGTGACTTGTCATGGGATTTGACAGTGTCAAATTGCATGACAAGTCACACCCTATGATCGGCAATGGAGCCATTCTAATCGGTGCGACTCCGACTTTGTCAGAGTCGCACTGATTTGAAAAGTAGTTCCTGCACCACTTTTAGTAATTTCTGGTGCGACTTTAATTAACATTTGTGTATCATGTCGTACTGATGTGACTTTGAAATCATGCGACTTCAAGTGAAAGTCGTATTCAGTGTGAACCAGGGGTAATAGAGGGAAAAACTTCAAATGGGGACACTAGTTCTGGTTACCTGGAGATTCCCTTAATTTACTTTAAGGCACAGACACTGTATAGCAGTGTAAAGCAGAGAGTAAAGGCTGCATTTGCAGTGAGCTAATATGGCTGCCCCCATGTACATAAATAATTACCAACTATACATTGTCAGGCAGTGGAGGAAACAAGGAATGAGGGGTATATTCAGGGCTGCTGTTAGAAACCACGGGGGCCCCAGGGGTGTATTTACCACAAGGCAAACAAGGCACTTGCCTAGGGTGGCACTTTTCAGGGGGCAGCACCTCCCCCCAGATGTAAGGATGAAAGAAGGGACGAGCACCATGGGAATCAGGTGGGATCCGAGAGAGGCTGCAGGCTGCTTGATGGTGTATGTAGAGCCTGACTCATTCCTGGGGATGTCCAGAGCTGTGAAGATGGCGGTAGTGGAAGGCTCTACCAGGTGGGCTGCAGGGGTGTTGTTGGTCAATGCCAGGCTCTCTACATGGGAGGGGGAAGGGGGGGTTGTGTTGGTCAGTGTCCGCGGGGGCAGACAATTTTTGTGTTGACTAGGGCAGTACAAAACCCCCCACCAAGAAAAACACAGTTTACTATGCTTCAGTTATGAATGAACACAGTGAGTGATCGATACCAATCACTCATTGTGTTCATTCAAGAAAGGAAGGGGCTGGTAAATGTGACATATTTACCGGACCCTTTCCTACTCTCCACCCTAAAGGATTCTATTGTGTGTTTGCAGCTGCTGATGGGAAGGAGAGGAGGGAAGCCGGCAGCACTATGGGGGCACAGCACTGTGGGGGCACAGCACTGTGGGGGCACGGGGGGGGGGGGGGGCAGCAGGGGAAAATGTTTGATGCACAGGGAGGGTGATGGGTGCATTGGAGGGGGGGGGGGACAATTACTGATAGCCATTCAGGGAATCAGCTCCAGTAATTGACCACCACCATGCTGATCGCCCTCACAGTCCACATCCGATTCACCCAGCTGCCTGGGCCCCCCTGCTGGCCTGGGCCCTGTACAGGAGGACTGTTGGTACCCCCTTATCCACAGCCCTGGGTATATTCACACCAGATGTGTTGGGACTGCTTTGGGAAGCTATTCCAGTGCAATCCCACCACATGGACAAGGCAAATTCCTTGTATCTTATGTACCCTGTTCACACCACTGCATTGCGGTGGTATGTGGGCACGGTGCACTGAGGAAAGGTACTACATGCAGTACTTTTATTAGCACAGTGCGGTGAGAGGCAATCCACTGACTCGCACCACACGGCCAGCAACCAAACATTAGGCGATGTCTTTGTGAAAAAAAAGAAACCGTGCGATCTGCTGAGCTCCGCTCTTCTTCATTGTTTAGACCTCACCTGGATCTCACTGCACACCAGCCCTCAGACAATACACACCTGGGCAAAACAAACCGCTAAATTGTATCTAAAGCCAAAAACAGAAATGTATTATATTGTAGTTTACAAATCCTTGAAGTTACTAAACCCACAACAGTAAAATCAGTCTGTATATACAGTAAAGCCTTCTAGTTATACTCACTGTGGAGCCTAAGGGATTAATCCTCTGCAGTGCGTAAAAACCCTGTTTTATCCTGACTTCTCTGATCCTCCCCTTCTCCCAGTGCCCCCTCTTACCTTCTGATAAGACATATTGTGTGGAGACACAATGCACATGCTCAGCTGGTATGTATTGCTAGAGTGGTTTTTTTTTTTTCTTGGGAGAGTGCATGTGATCAGCACAGGGCCAATTAGCACTGTCCAGACAGAGGTCAGGGGTTCTGCATTCTCCTAGAGCAGAATGAAAACTCCTCCTACAAGCTTTAACATGTGCTGTGCTGGACACTGATAGAAGTCACAAAACTGCTCTAACCGCTGATGAGAAAATGTACTTAGCAGTTTATATTTACTAAAATAATAGCATTTCCATGTTCTGTGTACTGTGGGAGACCAGATATAGTGAATGCAGGGTCCTGGGTTTAGTGGCACTTTAAAGTGTTACTAAACCCACATTTAGAACTTTACGTAAGTGACTAAAATGAAATCCAAACTCCAGCTAAAACTTTTTAAGAAGTTAACAGCATTGGTTGTTTTTTTCCCTTTTTTAGGATAAAGGTTTTGGATGAAATGAATAAGAGCTGGCCATTGTAATCACCCCTGTCAGTGTTAAATGGTTTGTCTCTACTTTCAAAGTGACACTTTTGCTGGACAGCTTGATCTGTTGAAAAATAACTGAATTACTGACTGCGAAAAGAAAAAATGAATGCAGCCACCACACTTGTCGGCAAGCTGCTATATAATATCTTTTTGCTTTTGTATTTAGGAATGCTTTAACCCTTTCAGTGGCGAGGGCAACCCACTAAAAGGATATTTTTTTCACCTCAGAGTTCAACTTTAAGGCTAGGTTCACACTCATGCAGGACATCGCATGTGATTCGCACAGGAACCGTACCGCATTCCTGTGCAAATCACATGTGAATTGTGTACGGTGCGATTGGAGCCATACATTATGTATGGCTCCAATCGCACCGCATCAGCATCAGTGCAGGATCCCTTTTTTGGGTCTGCACTAGAATCAGATCGCATAGGTATTCACACCTATACAATCTGATTCTGCACATCGCACCACGTTTTGCGGACCAATTTTGGGGTGTTGTTAACAACATACACACCCGCAGCGGTTCGCATGAACGGGGTGCGATTCTGATGCAGTGCGGAATTCACACAGAAAATGCTGCAAAGTCTGCACCGCATCAGTATGAATCCAGGCTAAATCTTATTCCATTTAGAGAATCCATAGGGATCGATTGCATGGTTTGAATGGAAATAATCCCAGTACTGAAAGAACAAGTCATTTTTTTCCAATGTGAATCAACAAGCTGAACTTTTCTCATCTAAAAACTATTTTCAGAATCGGTAAACACTATAATGCCATTAAATATTGAAAGAATTATTTCTGTTTGTTAAGATTTAAGATGCTTTTTGCAGAATATTAAATAATTTGCCCTGCAGCACAAATGCTTTAGCCGTGGCGTGTCGCCGACCCTTCTGCTTCTCATTAGAATATGGATGAAATGTCATTGTGTATTACAGTGGCAGTGGTCACATTTTTCATCAGAGTATGAGGACTCATGTCTGTCATCTGGATTCCCTCTGCCCTACTACAATGACTGTTTTGACTTCCTGCTGAGCTTCCTGTGAGCATGACGGTAGGAACACTGCTATCTGACTTCTACTATGCACAAATCTGACACCGAGAAGCTCTGTTTATATATAAATAAACTGCACTTTCCTGGTGACTGCAGAACACAACATTTCACATTTATTACAGGAGAGTAAAGTCAGCAATAGAAAGTACCGAAAGATCAATTATAATTTTGTATTGCTGAATCGCATTGCAAAGTCAGATTACAGAACTGAAAGCCGAGTAACATTTTTTGGTAGAAGTACAGTCGCTGCACATTTTGGTTGCTATGACAACTAAGTGGTGCACCTTACTGGAAGCAGTTGCACTCCATCTTGTGGCCTCCAGCCCATTCCATCCTTGTCCTCATGCTGAACCTGGGCTGTTAGGAACAGCACCATCTTCTGTGAGCTGACTGGCGTCATCGTACATTGACACGTTATCACTGGGCACTTTGGAGGCACAGAATGAAACATGTGATATAGGAAGCTTGTCTAGTGTATGAAGGCTAGCTGACTTGATTAACCACTTCAGCTCTGGAAGGTTTTACCCCCTTCATGACCAGGCCATTTTTTGCTATTTACAGTATCTCACAGAAGTGAGTACACCCCTCACATTCTTGTAAATATTTTATTATATCTTTTCATGTGACAACACTTTAGAAATGACACTTTGCTACAATGTAAAGTAGTGAATGTACAGCTTGTATAACAGTGTAAATTTGATGGCCCCTCAAAATAAATCAACACACAACCATTAATGTCTAAACCGCTGGCCAGTCAAGTTCCTCCACCCCAGACTCATCCATGTCTTTATGGACCTTGCTTTGTGCACTGGTGGTCAGTCATGCTGGAACAAGAAGGGGCCATCCCCAAACTGTTCCCACAAAGTTGGGAGCATGAAGTTGTTCAAAATGTCTTGGTATGCTGACGCCTTAAGAATTCCCTTCACTGGAACTAAGGGGCCAAGCCCAACCCCTGAAAAACAGCCTCTCACCATATTCCCCCCTCCACCAAACTTTACACTTGGCACAATGTAGTCAGGCAACCGCCAAACCCAGACATGTCCATTGTATTGCCAGACAGAGAAGTGAGATTCGTCACTCCAGAGAACACGTCTCCACTGCCCTTGAGTCCAGAGGCGGCTGGCTTTACACCACTACATCTGACGCTTTGCATTGCACTTGGTGATGTAAGGTTTGGATGCAGCTGCTCGGCCATGGAAATCCATTTCATGAAGCTCTTTACCCACTGTTGTGCTAATCTGAAGGCCACACAAAGTTTGGAGGTCTTTAGCTATTGACTCTGCAGACAGTTGGCGACTTCTGCTCACTGTGCGCTTCAGCATGCGCTGACCCCGCTCTGTCATTTTACCTGGCCCACCACTTCGTGGCTGAGTTGCTGTTGTTCCCAGTTGCTTCCAGTTTGTTATAATACCACTAACAGTTGACCGTGGAATATTTAGCAGCACGGAAACTTCACGGATGCACAGATAGCAACCTGTCACGGTACCACACTTTAATTCACTGAGCTCCTGAGAGCGACCCATTCTTTCTCAAATGTTTTTGAAGCAGACTGAATGCCTAGGTGTTTGATTTTATACACCTATGGCCATGAAGGTGATTGGAACACCTGAATACAATGATTTAGAGGAGTGTCCCAATACTTTGGACAATATAGTGTATATAATGTTAGGATCAATATATATATTTGGACACAGGCACAACTTTCATACTTTTGGCTCTGCATGCCACCAGAATAAATTAAAATGAAACAATCCAAATTAATTTGAAGTGCAGACTTTCTGCTTTAATTCAAGGGATTGAGCATAAAGCACAAGTACAAATTTTAGGAACTGTAACCATTTTTGTATACAGTCCCTCCATTTTCAGGGGCTCAAATGTAAATGGAAAAATTAATATAATCATAAATAAAATGTTCATTTTTAATATTTTGTTGAGAATCCTTTACTGGCAATGTCTGCCTGAAGCCTTTAGTTTTGCCTTCAGCGAGCGAAATGCATGCTCAGTTGGGTTGAGATCAGGTGATTGACTCGGCCATTGCAGAATATTCCACTTATTTTCCTTCAAAAGCTCCTGGGTTGCTTTTGCAGTGTGTTTTGGATCATTGTCCAACTATACTGTCAAGCTCTGTCCAATCAACTTTGCTGCATTTGGCTGAATCTGGGCTGACGGTATATCTCTAAACACTGCAGAATTCTTCTGTCTTCTGTCACATCATCAATAAACACAAATGACCCAGTGCCACTGGAAGCCATGCATGCCCATGCCATCACACTGCCTCCACCAAGTTTTACAGATGACGTTGTGTGCTTTGGATCATGAGTTGTTCCAAGCCTTCTGCACACTTTTTTCTTCCCGTCATTCTGGTTCAGATTAATCTTAGTTTCACCCATCCAAAGAATGCTTTTCCAGAACTGGTCTGGCTTTTTTAGATGTTTTTTGGCAAAGTCTAATCTGGCTTTTCTATTCTTCAGGTTTATGAATGGTTTGCACCTTGTGGTGAACCCTCTGTATTTGCTCTCGTGAAGGCTTCTCTTGATTGTAGACTTTGTCAATTGTAAGCCCACCTCCTGGAGAGTGTCCTTCACTTTTCTGGATGTTGCGAATGGGTTTTTCTTTACCATAGAGAAGATCCTGCAATCATCCACCACTGTTGTCTTCCGTGGACGTCCATGCCTTTTTATGTTGCTGAGCTCACCAGTGCGTTCTTTCCTCAGAATGTACCAAACTGTTGATTGGTCACTCCTAATGTTGCTGCTATCTCTCTGATGGATTTGTTTCATTTTTGAAGCCTTACAATGGCCTGTTTCACTTGCATGGACAGCTCCTTTGAACACATGATGTAGGTTCACAGCAATAGATTCCAAATGCAAATACCACACTTAGAATCAACTCCTGACCTTTTATCTGCTTAATTGATGAAGAAATAATGAAGGAGTAGCCCACACCTGACCCTGAAACAGCTTTTGATTCAAATGTCCAATTACTTTTGGTCCCTTGAAAAAGGGGGGATGGCTACTCTTAAGGGCTGTAATTCCTAAACCCTTCCTTCAATTTGGATGTACATAACCTCAAATTAAAGCTAAGAGTGTGCACTTTCAGCCCATATCCATTATATAACTATACCTTAAATATGTGTGGGTAAATAACTGAAATAAACTAAAATTGTGCCTGTGTCCAAATATATATGGACCTAACTGTATGTATGTATGTGTGTGTGTGTGTATATATATATATATATATATATATAGTTGGTTCCATTTGTGTGGTGGATGCATTGACAATGTAGGGGTTGATTTGGCACATTGTATTTGTAATATAAGTAGAGGGATGGTAATCTCTCTTTAAGAAGTACATTCTTTGGCCCTGCCTGTTCTGTGATTGGATGAGTTGCTGCTCCCCAGGGCGAAAGTAACCAGCCTAAATTAGATTTTCTGATACTCTTAAATGAAGAAGTGCTGCTGGTAATTTTGCACAGAATAGAATAACTTTCCAGTAAAGAAAGTTCAAATGTTAACTGCAGTCTTGTAGATATAGATCACTTCTTACACCATGAGTAGGCATCCTCAGCACTCTAGATATGGTGAAATTACT